GAAAACTAGTGGCAGGCAAACTAAGCCAAATTATTGCCTAGCCAGTGTAGTATAGCAATTACTTACACAGCTTGTACATTGTATCAGAAATCATAAGTAATCTAGAGATAATCAGAAGTATATGGAAGTCAGGCATCATGATGCCGGTCTGTACTCCCAGCGTTTGAGAAGCGTAGACTCTGGGATTACGGCTTCAGGGTCAGCCTGGACCACTGGCTGAGTCTGCAGTTAGTTTGCTCTACACAGCAAGATGGCGTCTCAAAGGGCAAGAGAAAGGCTGAGCATAGAAAGTGTGTATAGTTTGTATTAAATATGCAGTTCCACTTTCGTATCAGGGCCCTGGGCCCTCTGGCCTTCCACATGGAGGCCCGGAACTCACTCCCCTCAGTCTGGGAGAATTTATTTTCTAAAGCGAATGCTCCACGAAAAGGTAAGTCAGGGAGCCCTGAGGCAGGAAGGGATTTGTCTAAAGTTTGGCTGAATGGGGGCACGTTAATGGCATCTTGGTGGTCCTTTTGTGCAGTCCTTCATAAGTGCATCCTCAAATTCACTCTTGCTGTTTGAGAAGGACCTTATCCGCAGGAACATATGGATGTGGAACTCTCAGCTCCCTCTGCCCTGTGAGTTCCTTCTCATGAACGGCCTATTGAGGTGAATGCATGAATGTTCCCTTTTAATGCTCCTAAGTAAGAGTATTTTCATTGAGTGATTCAATAAACATTTACGAGGGAGCTAGGTTGTGCCAGGTGGTATGTTAGGTATGAGCCAGGTGGAAATTTCTCTCAAAGGGACCTCAAAGGAGACAGATGGATAGGGCAGATGAATCCATAAAAATATTAAACATAAAGTTGTCCTGAAATCCAGACACCCCCAAGAGAAATGGGAGCATGTGCCTAGACAAACACCCACACACAACAGTTCACTGTAGCATCTTTCAGAATGAGCAAATGGTAGAAACAACACATAGAGCTGGTAATGACAAGATGTGGCTTAGCCTATTATTCAGCATTAGTCACCAGGGAAAAGAGATGAAGTTTCTAATTCAGCCACACCACGAGTAGACCTGGAAAGCATTGTGCCAAGTGATAAAAGCCAGGCACAGAAGGCCACGTGTTGTATGATTCTGTTCAGTAGAAATGTCTGGATTAGGCAAATCCATAGTTGCAGAGAATGCATGAGAGGCTGCCTAAGGCCTTGGGGTCGAGGAAGATGGGAAACGGCCACCAGTGATACAGGGTTTCCTTCTAAAGAGCCAAAGTGGAGCTGATTGTGCGAAGGATGCCCCACTTTGTGAGTGGGCTGAAAACTGTTGTGTACTTTAAATGGGTGGGTCATGTGACCCACAAATTCCATCTCAAAAAGCTTGCCACAGTGGGGGGGGGGTGTAGAGATTGCTCAGTGGTTAAGAGCACTTGCTGTTCAATCCTGAGGACTGGAGTTCGGGTCTCAGCACCATCATTGGGCAGCTCACATACGCCTGTAACCTACAGGCACGGTGGCACACAGCTTTAGTTCCAGCACTCAGGAGTCAGAGGCAGGTGGATCTCTATGAATTTAAGGCCAGCCTGGTTTACATAGCAAGTTCCAGTCCAGCCAAGTCCACATAGTTAGACCCTGTTACAAAAACAAACAAACAAACAAACAAACAAAAACTAAAGCAAGCAAGCAAGCAAGCAAATCAACAAAAATCCTAAATGCCTGTCTGCCTGTTTCCAAGGAATCTGATGGCTACTCTGGATCTCCCAGGCCAGACAAACCTGTACATATACTCACACATACACACAAATAAAACAAAATCCTCATGTGAGGGAGTCAAAGAGCAGGGTGTGCCCTGAGGAATTCAAAGGGAAGGGAAGGCTGAGGAGCTGAAGCTTGAAACGTGAATGCCAAGGTTTCCACAGCCCTTTGAGAATGGAGGACCCATGTTGGACATGAGCTCACGGGTGCTTACTTTTCATATTCTCAGGCAAGAGTGTTTTCCTTGATTGACTCAGTAAACATTTGTGAAGCAGCTAGTTTGAGCTAGGTATGAACTTGAGTTACATCTTCCTTCAAAGAGACCTCCCGGCTTTAAAGGAGATGCTATCAGATATTACAAGCCCTGTGAAAATGGAAGGCATTGCCACAGGCCCAGAACCAAGCACCTCTGAGGACATGCAGGTACCCCAGTGGTTGCAGGACAGGAGTCTGTGGAGAGATTAGGGACAGACATTGGTTGGGCACGGAGGTAAATCTGACTTTCGCCCCCTCAGAAATGGAAGAAGCTGACAGTTAGCTTCATAGACCCTGGGGCTGGGATACTTGGGCTCAATTCCAGTTCTGCATTTATGGCCTGAGGAAGTCACTTTTTCTCCCTGTGCCTTAATCCGCTCCTCTGTTGCACAGACTGACACAAGCATTAGCATCAAGGCATCCAAAGTCCTTGCAATGGGGCCTGCAGGCTCTGAGCATCTGGGCATGTGTGTTGACAACACATGAAAATGAATCACCGGAAAGTGAGCCAAAGGCTATGTATACGAATGATGCGGAGGGTGAAGGGATTAGACCAAAATGATGAGACCTAGAGGGCTTGCAGTTGTCCACGGCAGATGATGTCTGGGAAGCTGAGAAGCAGCAGGGTTGGCAAGAAGAGAGAATGTTTGAAAAGGCCTAAGAGGAAACGCTAGGATGTGATGACTAGCAAACGAAGGGCAGGGAGTGAAGTTGTGCCTCTAGGTGGCTTCTGAGGGGTTTTTGTTTGTTTTTCAAAACAGGGTTTCTCTGTGCAGTCCAGGCTGGCCTTAAACTCAGAGAAATCCACCTACCTCTGCCTCCTGAGTGCTGGGATTAAAGGCCTGCACCATCACCGCCAGGCTTGCTTCTGAGTTTCTGGTTTGGGTAACTGCTAAGTTTCTGATTTGGATAACTGGTGGGACCATTCACGGAGATGGAGAAAACAGAAGAAAGAGAAAGTGCAAAACTCACATCACTGGTCAAATCTAGTATATGGTACTTGTGGGATCCAAACCAGCCCTATTATAATAATTATTATCATCTTTATTATTGTTATTGTGTCTTATTTGTGCACAATCGTTTCATGTGAACTTTTCATATATGTATACGCTTTGATCATATTTATCCCTGCTTCCCTTCTTTTTTCTCCTCTCACCTCCCTATAGTTCCTTCTCACCTCCAATATAGTCTATATGACATAAAACATACCTGTTATAAAACATTGTATACACAATCTATGTTCCATCTTTGAGAGAAAACATGGATATGTCTTTCTATGTCTGGCTTTTTAATTTTTTTTTTTTTTTTTTTTTTTTTGAGACAGGATCTCACTATGTAGCTCCAACGATCCTAGAACTCCTAATAGATTCAGCTCGCCTCAGATTCACAGAGATCCACCTGCATCTGCCTCCCCAAGTGCCGGGATTAAAGGTGTGTGCCGGCAGGCCTAGCCTGAATCTGACTTCTTTTACATACCGTGATCTCTGGTTCCATTCATTTTCCTACAGCTGACATAATTTCATTTTTCCTTATAGCTAAGTAAAACTCCATCATGTGTACCTCCCTCCCTCCCTTCCCTCCCCCTCTCCCTCCCTCTCCCTCTGTGTGTGGCAAGTGTACTTGTTAGTGTGTGCATACACACGCGTGCACGTGCAGGTGGAGGCTTGAGGTTGTCACCAGGTGTCTTTTCTTTTTTTGACACCGAGCCACTCATTGAGCTCAGTGACTCTCCTAGGCTGGATGGCCAGTGAGTGCCAGTGATCTGCCTGTCTCTCCACTCCTGGAGGACTCCCTCTGCTGCCTATACGCAGGCTCTAGGGACCCAAACCCGGGTCCTCATGCTTGAACTGCTGACATTTTAGGAGCCGAGTCATCTCTCCATTCCATTTTCTTCATCAAGTCATCTGTTCATTTTATCTATGTAGCCCAGACACCGAGGCTTTTCTTTATCTAGTCAGATATCCATTTTTGTTATCTATTCAGCCTAGATGCCTGGGCTGATTCCGTAACTTGGCTATTGTGAACAGTGTCACAGTGAATGCAGGTGTGTGACTATCTCCTTTGTACGGTGACTTTGATGCCTTCAGCAGTATATACAAGATCAAACCGAGTCTTCTGATTTCAAATCCAGGACATTTCTCATTTGCTCCCCTTCCAGTCACTAGAGTTGGGACCTTCTCTTGAGGTGCCAGGGCTTTTTATACTTACAGGTGAAACATCACGAGGGGGTCAGCTGTCCCATGCACATGGCCTGGTGGGCAGCCATGGGGTAGAGCAAATGTAGACTGAAGAATATGACAAGCGGAGTGCCAACGGTTTGGGTTAGGAAGTTCGGAGGGATATAACTATTTTGCTACTGTTGTCTTCCTCAATCTCCGCAAGCCTGGAGTTCCACATTTTAAAGCTGTTTATGACTAATTCATTAATTTTGCAGTCCTGGGGGTGGCACCTAGAGCCTCACACATGCTAGGCAAACTCCCTACCACTGACCTATGTCCCTAGGCCAAGGGCTCCACGCTTTACTTGACAGCAATCATCCCAACAAAGTGTGCAGTGAGGACCTACTGTAGGTACCAGCAGAATGGCCTCTGTCTCAGGATTCATTAGGGTATATTCCAGATATCAGGGGCTCTCCTTGTCTGACATTTGAATGCAAATAATCTCAGTAGTTCCTTCTTTCTCGGGCCCCTTATGTTTCAGCCATAGTACCAGGTTCCTGCTCCACCTTGAGCAAATGCAAAGACCTCATTCAAGCATGCCATTGGCCTCTCCCACCCTGACTCAGCCTGAATGTTCTTCATAGAACCTCCTTGGGCATGGATGTTGTCAGGGACACTTCAAAACTGTCCCTGCCAGGGCCCCCACCAACTACAGCTTTCGCTTCTGTAGAGGTTTTGCCAGGCGCCAAAAACATCTCCAGTGCTCTGGCTTGGAGCAGCCAATGGAAACCACAGCCAGGACCCCTCCCTCTCTCCCCGAGTGGCATCCCAGCTTCTTGCCTCCTGTTTCTCTCTTGCCTGTGCCAGTCTGCCTGACTCAGAAGCGAGGACTCACTGGGAAGCAGCACTGGGGGCTCCGGGGACACCTCACCTGATTATCTGCCCTGTGTTTTCTGGAGGCTCGATATAAAGATGTCCTGGAGACAGGTCATCCTCCTGTCGTGTCTCTCAGCGACACTGCTCCTGTGTAGTGAGTATGGGAGGGTCCAAGGGTGGGCTGTGTTACCTACATAGTAAGACTTTACAGATAGGTAAATTTGCTCAGGCGGCATAAGTAGGAAGGGGTGTTTTTCTTGAGGTAGCTACTCTCGGTGTGTGTGTACAAGATAACGTAACAGTGAAAATAGCAAAGATGAAAAGTAGGAAACAAGCAGGCTCATATGGTGAGTTACCATAAAGCTTGGCTCTGTGCCTGCTCTGCCGACAGGCAGAGGGCCCCACAGGTAGTCTGGTGAGCTACAGCACCCAGAGCTATCGAAGGCCCACGAGGGCTCTGATGTTGCAGCCTTTTCCTGTATCTGACCCTACAGTGCTACAAGAAGGGACCAGCGCTTCTGTGGGCAGCAGGCAGGCAGCCGGAGAAGAGACCCAGGACGGTGAGTCTAGAGGCTATCCCTACATGTGGAACAGTTAGGTCCTGCCCCCCAACCCCGTGCTGGGTGTGAAGAGCTCTTCTCTGGTTTCAGGTACGAAACAGAACATTTTCATGCAAGAATCTGATGCCTCGAACTTCCTCAAGAGGCGTGGCAAGCGGTCTCCTAAATCCAGAGATGAAGCCAATGGTAAGAATGCTAGATGGTCTCCCTTCCACAATGGGTGACCAAAGGCCTTGGATATTAGGGTGACTGGAGTGCTAAGTGAGCAATGGTAACATATTTGGGGCCAGTGAGATGGCTCAGTGGGTGAAGGTGACCTGAATTCAGTGCTTGGACCCCCGCCACACACATGATAGAAGACAAGTGACTCCTAAAAGTTGGTCTCTGACCTCCACATACACACTGCGGCATACATGCGTCCCTAACAAATGAAATAAATAAAAATATAGAAATATCGTATGTCACTGGTTGTGGGTCACTGGTGGACCGAATGTGGCATCGGAGTAAGGAGCAATAAAAGCTTTGCCACATCAAGAGCGCCAAGGTGCATCCAAATTCAGAAAGTGAAAAAAACAAAACAAAACAAAACAAAACAAAAAAAACTTAGAGGGAATGTCTAAAGGTCTAAAGGGAATAGGGTACTTCAGTGTGTGTCAAGGGGTGGTGGCGTGGTGCATCCTGGACAACAGCATGGCACTCAGGGGACAAGCACCAGGGACCCAAATGCTGAGTAGATATGGTGATGGCTCAGCTCATGAGTGGCCTTAGCCACTCCCTCTCTGTGATTCCAATTTCCTTATCTATAAACCCAGGAAAGAGGAGAGGGACAATGTGTCCAGACAAGGAGGAGATGGCGTGGGGTTTTTTGTTTTTTTTCTTCAGTTTAATTTTCTGTGAATTTCGGAGTCTCTGGTACTCTGAATGCCCTGGTCCTTGACCTTCCAACCAAAGAGGCATTGGAGTTTCCTCTCTTTGAAATTGATTCTTGCAAGCCTCTGAGCTCAGACTATCCTGGCTGAGTCTGTGGCTTGATTCTTTCCTTGTGCGTACAGATGAATGCACTCTTTGTGTCCTTCACCACACTCAGCAAGGTGACCTTGTTCAGGAAAAACAGCAGGATTATTTTCAAATGATGGGGAAGAACAGAGATGGAAATGTTTACAGGTCAAACTTTTTTAAAACTTGGAGAAGGCTAACCAACCACGGTAGGAAAAGCGCCAGAATGCACACAGGTTGAAATTCAAAGTGGGCTAATGCCAGTAACACTGAAAGTCTGTGCTGGGGGTGCAGTCCTTGCTTGCAACCAGAGAAGCAGCTTCTGGCAGACCCTGGGTGAGGCTGTTATCTCCTGTCCTGTGAAACAGACTCAGAATAACAAGGTGCATGACTAAGCCCGAGGCCTCTCACTTTGGATGAAAGCTCAGTTAGGCAGGCAGTTGGGGAGGCCCAGATTATCCAAGTGAGGAACCAGGACTTCAGGCAAGTTCTGTAGGTAGGTAGGGGAGCATGGCGTTAGAATTAACTTGAACGTAGAACTGCTGTAGAGTAAGAATTGGATGGATGGATGTTTGCGTGTGTGTGTGTGCGCGTGCATGTTCAATGCATATGGTGGCCAGACGATAGCTTCAGGTGTTGTTTCTAAGTTGCTGTCCACTTTTCTTTTTGAGGCAGGGTCTCTCGCTGGACTGGAACTTGCCAGATCGTCTAGTCTGGCTGGCTAATAAGCCCCTGGGATGTGTGTCTCCTCTATCCCAGCTCTGGGTTTACAAGTGCATGGCACCATGCCCGGTTACTTTACAGAAAATGCATATGTGGAGAATGAAATCATTCTGTGTTACTATTATTTCAGATATCAATTTTTGTTTTTTTTTTTGTTTTTTTTTTTTTTACAAAGATGCCTCTTCAGGAACGGGTAGTCATTCATGATGTCCCTCCTAAAATCTGTCATCCCCCACCCCCAGCAGCAGCATTGTGACAATTGGAGGCACATCAGAGCCTCCAGGGCACAGTGCTCTGGGCCAGGCAGCTGTGTGACCCCCGTCAGGTCACCACACTTCTCTGAGCTTGAATCACCTCCTGAGAAGTCGGTAGGCTGTGGCGATGGACTGGACTCTGTATCATTTCCGTCAGAAAAGCTTTTTGCCACTGTAAATAAAGGCATGGCTTTGTGAAGAAGCTTCCGTCAGAAGTGTGTAGTAGGACAAATTCTCAGAAAACCTGGTTTTAATGAGTTATTAGTATTCATATTTACTTATTAATGTAAGCTTCTTGCTTCCAGGAAGGAGCTGAGATTTTCTTCTCCTTTTCTTCTCTACTTCCTTATTTCTTTTTCTTTCTTTCTTTCTTTCGTTAAGAAAACAGAAAGGCCACTTGTTGATTTACCCTGGGTTGTGTATGTTGTATGTGCATATGTATGCCACAGCATGTGTGTGTAGAGGTCAGAGGACTGTTTGTGGGAGACGAGTCTCTCCTTCCATCGTGTGGATTCTGTGGATCAAACTCAGGTTGTCAGGCTTGCTGGTGAGCATCTTGTTGCTGAGCCCTCCTCCTCTTCTTTCTCTTCTCTCCTGCTTCCTTCTTTCCCCCAGAGCGAGGTACCGACTCAAGGCCTTGTGCGTGCTAGGGGAATCCAACACTCTGTACTGTGGAGTGTACTGTGGGTACAGCTCTTAGCTCTTCTGCTTCTCTCTCTTGCATATCAGCGTCATAGGGCCACAGGAGCTGTAGTCCAGTCTGTGATGTGAGGGGACCCCAGCCTTGACAATGAGGCGATTAGAGGGGCCCACTCTTCCTGAAGGCCTGTGACCTGCAGGCCTTCACTGTGTTTGCCAGTTGAAGGGACACATTATAAGAACCTTTAAAGAGCTTTAAATATCATCTTCCAGAGCATCACCACTCTCAGTTTTTATTATGGACGTCATCATGCAAGTAAAAATTTATGTGACTGTTGTTATTTTGTAGCGTTGGGAATGGAACGCACATTCTAGGCAAGCGCTCCTACCACAGAGCCACATTCCCTAGCCTGCTGACACTTGATTTCATACCCCTCTTAACTGCATGACAGGGTTGCCCCTCTTAAGAAGTGGATGGCATCTTTATCTGCCTTTAAATTTTTTATGATGTTTCTGCATCAATTTTGTATGCGCACATATATTTGGTATGTGTACATGTATTTTGTATGTAGCATCTATGCACCTATCTTGTATGTGTACCATGTATTCTGTATGTATCAGGTGCATGCCTGCTACAGTGTACAAGATGTCAGAGGACAACTTGTGGGAGTTGGTTCTCTTCTACCATCTGGGTCCTAGGGACCGGATCATGTCATCAGGCTTGGCAACACGCACTTTCACCCACTGAGGCATCCTGCCAGCCCCTTACCCTTTTAATCTCACTGCTAACCCCACACTCTGGCTGAGGCAGGTGCTCAGAATGGACTTGAAGGTATTCATCAATGTGAGATTAACTTTTAAAAATTTTTATTTTTACCTTATTGCATGGGTGTTTTGCCTGCATGTATGTCCGTGCATGCCATGCGTGCCTGGTGCCTATGGAGGCCAGAATAGGGCACTGGATTCCTTGGAACTGGAGTTAACAAATGTTGTGATCTGCTATGTGGTTGCTGGGGGTTCAACGCAGGTGCCCTGGAAGAGCAGCCAGTGCTCTCAACTGCAGAGCCATCTCTCCAGCCCCAAGGGTTATTTTCAAGCCAATTAAGCTTTAGAGAGTTCATTTATCACCGTGGGGGTTCAAGTTTCTATGGTCTGTGGATAGAATGGCCTCCCAGGCCCTTCATGTTTTAAAGTCCAGGAGAGGCACGAACCATTTTGGCAAAGCCCTGGACCATCCCTCTTCCCTCAGACCCAGTCTCTCAGGTGCAGTGTGCTGTTCCTCACGCATGTGCCCTCCTTGCTCCTTTCTCAAGAGCAACTCTGTCTTCACAGCGGAAAACAGACAGAAGCTGCGAGACCAAGAGCTGCGGAGAGAATATTACGAGGAACAAAGGAATGAGTTTGAGAACTTCGTGGAGGAACAAAGAGATGGTAAGAGCTCTCCAGCAGCAGCCTTGGGGGAGGAGAGTGTAGGGCAAAGTCCAGGCTTGCCTTCGTCTCTCCCTGATGTTGACTGGAGGAGAGAGGTATGGATGGAGGAGGCATTTTCAATTTCTATCCATGGCAGATGTGAAGAGGACAAGTCACAAAAATGGCAGAGGATAAAGGACATACGGGTTAGAGACACACTGGCCTGGGGGGCCATGGTGACCAGGGAGTTATTGGCTAACGGTATAAAAGCAGGAAGCACCTAGTTAAGCCCTGCAAGCAGGTGCTGGGCTCGCATCCTAGGAAATCAAACTTTCTTGGGAACATAGTGTAAAGAACTCAGACTGTCACCTCGGGGCAAATGCTTATGTCGTTAGAGACTTGTTGACCTTGGCAGGCGGCTGAGGAGAACTGTCTTGTTTTTAAAACCTGAGGATTTGGAATCCAAATTTCCTTCAGTGTGATTTTTTTTACTCTCACTGTTCCTAATAACACCCGACAGAGTCCATCCTAAGTGTTTCAGGCCTTGGCCAGGTCTAAGTGGTGCCGGCATGTAATCCCAGCACTTACTCGGTAGATTGAAGCAGGGGGAATCTCAGCTTTAAAGCCTGCCTGGGCTACATAGTGAAACACTCAAAAACAGAAACAACCAAACCAAACCAAACCAAACCAACCCAAACCAAACCAAAATCCCCAAACCCAAAATTAAGCAAAAACATATCTTTTTCAAATTTCTAGCACATGGGTAGAAGAATTCACTGTTTTCTCCTTCATGATGAGTTGGGATGAGGGGTGACCCTGGTTCTCGAGCCCCACCCACAGAGTAGAGAGCAGGGCAAAAGCTGTTGGGGACTGTCATCATAGGAGCTGTTGGAATGAATATTTGAATGACTGTCACAATCCTCTGAACATAGGCCTTACCATTTCCACTTTACAGACCGAAAGAGTGAGGCTTAGAAAGGACACACAATCGCTTGATTATGTGCTAGAAAATGGCCTAGGGTGGATGGTCTGTTTGCCAGCAAAGCTGCTGCTCTTCCCCACCACCAATGATGGCATCCGTGGAGGCCTTGGGGGCTCTTCCCACTGGTCCACAAAGATGGTGGAATGAGCAGGGTAAAAGAAAGTGACCCTAAGGGTCTTTGCAGAGCTTAATAAAGGAAGGGGGAAAGAGAGCAAGCCTAGCTCACCATCGATTTGATTTTTGAAAAAACTTGAACTCATTATCCCCATCCCTACCCTCTCTGCCCCAGAGTGACTGTCACAGGGGTCCAGCTACCTGGACCATTCCCTCGCATGCACCTGCACTTTTTTTTCTGAGCCCCATGGCAACCTGCTTTCTGTTAGCAGTTTTATGTTAACCCACTGAAGGATTGAGGTCTCCTAGTGAGCTGCTTCATAAAAGGGACACCTAACCAATGACAAAAAGATGCGTGATTAACCTCCAGGTCAAAGACACACCTCGAAGAGGAGTTGTTCCACTGAGCTTGAAAAATGTCTGAAGAGCTAAACCCCACCCCAGGGCCGGGCTCTGTGTGTACCTGGTTGTTCCAGTGGGAGCATGCATTGCAGGCTCATGCAGAAATGAGACAGCCTCAGTAGCCACAGTGACCAACACTTGCCTCATCTGTCCCTTCTCCAGATCGTTTTGACAGCATAATTCTATTTTTAAAACTTAGAAAATCTAGAACATGCAAGGTCTGATGGGACATATCTGTAATCCCAGCACTCAGGAAGTTGAGGCGGGAAGATCATGAGTTCCAGGTCAGCCTGAGCTGCTGCATAATTGCTAACGATTTCCATGTTTTTCTCTAAATTATTTTATATTGTTTGTTTGTTTATTTATTTGTCTGTGTGTGTGTGTGTGTGCATACACATGCATGTAGAGATAAGAGAACAGTTTGTGGGAGTTGGTTCTCTTCTTTCATGTGAGTTTTAGGGATGGGACACAGGTCATTAGGCTTAAGAGCAAGCACTACCCTGAGACAAGGCATCTCACTGGCCCCGTGCATGAGTTTTTCAATACCTGGCCTGTGTTCCCACGTGGCCATTATGTTGTTACATGTTAGTTTGGTGTCTAGTCTTCTGTGTCTAGTCTTAAGCCAGTGTTTACATACGACTTTCCCCCTCATTTCTGGCAGCATAGGTAAGGCAGCTCAGGGGTCAGGTGTTGCCCTTAGTTTCAGTTCTGCTGGCAACCAGCTTGCGACCTTTATCCTCTGCCCTGATCCGAATGGAAACCTTTGTACAAACGTTCCCTTAGTTCAATGTCCCCTCAGCAGGTGCTGTGGGCTGATGGCTGATCAGTAACTGCTGCTGGGTTGGGTGTCTTCTAGTCTGCACAGTGGCCTTTGTCTTCTGTCCTCAGAGCAGGAAGAGAGGACCAGGGAAGCAGTGGAGCAGTGGCGGCAGTGGCATTATGATGGCCTGTACCCTTCCTACCTCTACAACCGCCATCACATCTGACCTCACCCTGAAGCAGCTGGGGAAGAGGAACATGAAACATGCCACCCACCTCTCTTCTACAGACCCTCGAGGTGAAGATCCCACGCTGCCTTGCCCAACAGCTCCAGGACGCACACACCCTTTGTTCTGATGACCCAGGATGCTTGGCTTTTGCTTCTTTGTGGATATTTCTTTTCTTTTCTTTTGAGGTGAGCAACCACCTGTGGTCTTTCCCAGCATTAAATCTACATGCTGTCCCCTTGCTTATCCACTGGAAACAGAATTAGAAGGCCCATCTGATAGGACAGTTAAAAGGATCGCAGCAAGAAGATTTTAAGTTTGCCTATCGCCTATTAATAAAAGTGCTGAATCAACCTTGTGTATCATTGCCACAAAACTCCGAGGAAGCTGGCTGCTGTGTGTCCAAGTGTCATTCTAAGCACATGCTCTACCACTGAGCTATACCCCCAGCCCTAACTTTAAATACTGAAACACTGTGCAGAATGAAACAGGCAGGATGGAGGAACGACCTCCTCTGAGTGCCTGGGGCTCTGCTTTCAAAACTCAGGAGAATCAAACTTGGAATACAAGTCCCATCACAGCAAAAGCCAAGCCCATGCCTGTTCCTGCTGGCATGACACACTTGTAGCTCCATGTGAACACAGCCATCTCTTTCTCCATTTCTCTTTTCCTGTGGAGTATTTGTGTCTGCCTCTTTACTGGAAGCAGGTGGTCCAGTGTCCACACCAGGAGGTTTCTCTGTGAGTAGCAGGTACTCAAAGAATTTTCTGTGCTTTCATGTTCTTTCTTCATAACTGTTTTATACTGAAACCACTGGTGCTCTTGGGGTCTGGGCTGTGTTCCCTTTACATGCCATGGGATAGGCTAATGTCAGTGTCCCTATTCCTTCTTCAGTAAGATGGTGAAATGTGGGTCCTAACTTCTGTACTGTCAACCTGGAGATATCAGCAATTTGCAAACATTCACAGGTAAGCCTCAGGGGGAAAAGGACCCTTCAAATATTACTGGTGCCATCTCACCTTAACCCACCAGACCTCCTGAGGTTGCCAGCGCACACCTCCTGCATGTCTTGCACATTCCTACCCCAGTGCTTTTGGGGAAGGCTCATCTGCCATAGTGTGAATCTGGACTCTCCCCAAAAGCCCAGGGTTAAAAGCTTGGCATTCAGTTTTGATTTTGTGCTACTGGGAGGAGGCAGAGTGTCAACAGATGAACCCCAAAGGAGGTATTCTGGGACAATGCTGCAAGTAGGTTGTGCACTTTAATACCTTTCCTCTCTCTCTTGCCTACAACCATGAAACAAGTGTCATATGTTCCTGCCACGATAGGTCTCACGCAAAGCCACAGGGCAGGTCAATCATGGGTTGAAGCCTTCAAACCAAGAAGAGACACAACTCCTTTCTCTTTATAAACTGCGTGTCCACACGTGTCTGTTACAGGGATGGAGCTAACAGCTGTTACTCTGCATTGCCCTCTGGACATGCCATGCAGCGGGAAGCTGGCATATGCTAACAATGGTAGAACCCTAAACTAAAAGGTTGGGAGGTATCTCAAGCTATTTTTATTATTTCATTACCTGAGTTTGTTGGGTTTACATGAGAGATGTGGCTTCTTGATGTTCTGAAGATAAATCCCAGCCCAGGCTCTGAGACAAACTGGGGAACGCCGCAATCATGTTTGAGCAGGGCAAAGCTGAGAGATGATCTCTCATTTACTAGGTAAGAGACTCACTCACACGGATCCCACCGGCTTCCCTTCCCATCCCAAAGGGACAGGGTAAGAGCCTGGCAACCTTGTTCTTACTTTTAATTCCTAAGTTTGTTCTCTTAGGGGCGGCTCCTTTCCATACCTGATCCACACCTAGATTAGGAATTTCAGAGTAACCCACCTTCACTCGTACCTTCTGGGCCACATGAGAGGTGACGAACTTTTCTACTGGGACCAACATGTGGGCAGTGATGCAAGCTCAGCCTGGTGAGGCCGGATTACACGTTGTTGGGCTAAGGGTCCAAGGGAGGCTGGACTGTGGTTACTTAAACTGTCTTCCTGATTGGCCAGGAGATAAATGACGACACAGGCATTGAAAACTTTACCCTCTGATAGGAATTAGGTAGATAAGGTGCTTTCCAAATTGACTGTAGTTGTCCCAAACCTACCAATATCTAAAGATGCTAGTCTCTTATATAAACCATATACGCAGCAGTATTTGCATATGATCCCCCACCTGTGTGTTCCAGTTCATCTTGAGATTACATAAACATAATACAATGTGAACGCATTCTCAAATAATTTTGAGAACACTGACAGAAATGTCTGTAGCCAGTGCAGATGCAAATGCATAGTTTTAATCTGCGGTTGTGGAGCTGGTGAATGCAAACCCCACACAGACCTCACACGCCTAGCTGGGTAACAGAAAAGGCGAAGCACCACCCTCTCTACTCCCCGGGGAAGCAAGGGTCCCAGACCCTGTCAGGCTGGCCTCCTTCCATTCACCCCTTTTGGTTGGCACCTCCTCCCACAGGCTAGTGAACAGGTAGATGGCAACAGCTGGTTGCATTCTGACCCAGGGCCATCCCACACAACCACCTGCCTATTGTGTGTCTGGTGCTGGCAGCTAGGAGATGTCCGGAAGCAAGCAAGCCAGTTTAAAAAAAAAAAAAAAAAGTAAGTACATTTCCCTCTTCAATGGCTCCCTTGGCATGCTGGCTCTAGATAAAGAATTCTGGCTGGGAGAGGCTGGGTCAGAAGCCTCTCACCTCATTCACCCTTGTCCTGAACAAGGGGTCCATTCATTATCCTTAGGTTTTCAAATTCAGCCTAGAATTCCTTCACTAAAAGCCAAGCACTGCCGTTCCCTGGTGAGAACGATGCCAAAGGTTAACAAGACCAGGAATCTGAGTGACTAAATTTCATCGGCAACCAGCAACAGAGCAATTTGTACTTGGAGATTGGCCTTGTCCAGTGTGGCTTTTGGGACATGCTTTTACTCTTTTCTGTTCTTTTGTCCCTCTCCCCTCATTCTGAAGATGTTGAGAACAGATGTGTCAATCTCCTACTACTTTCCATCTACTAGCTTCATGTTTTATTTACAAATACTGGGAGGTGGGGGTTCAGCTGGGGGGTAGACTGGGGAAGCACATGCTTACTGAGGTCAAGGTCCTGTTCCCAGCAACACCCAAAACAAACTAAGGCGGTGACTAAAGCAACTGTGCTCCCAGGGCAACTTATTTATTTCCTGCCTTTCTGAAAAGAGGCCAGTGATTTTCCTAGCCCCACAATGAGTCTTGCATTCCCTGTACTTGTCCTGGGTTTCCCCATTTGTTTGGGTTATTTAATTTCTAATTGATTTTTCAAACAATAGTGCTCTAATGCTTTAGCAAGATCGTCATAATTTGGGTTGGTGAGAGGGTCAGAGTAAAACTGCCTGATGACATATCCCCAAGTCACATGGTAGAAGCAAAGCACCAACTACTTCCAACTTGTCCTTTAACTTCATGCACATTAGCTAACTCTGTCACTTGCTATTTATTCTCTGTTTTTTTTTTTTTTTTAATATTCTTAATGAACTTACTCATTCAAAATAAAAAACATGGCTAATGCAGAGCATTCTCTAGACTGGTGGTTCTCAAACTGTGGGTTGTGACCCCTTGGTGGGGAGATTGAAAGACCCTTTCTCAGGGGTTGCATATCAGATATTACAATTCATAACAGTAGCAAAATTAAAGTTATAAAGTAGCAGCAACAAAAATTTTACAGTTGGGGTAGTGCCCTCACCACAACATAAGGGTATTAAAGAAGCGCAGCATTAGCAAGGTTGAGAAACACTACTGTAGGCTCTTCACAACCTTCAGACTTTCATGATGGAAGCAAGCACTTGTGTTCAGAAAGGCATCAGGCATCTTTATAAACTCATCCTAATGCTACAAACAGTTGGCTGGTTGACAGCACAGGACAAGATGCTCAACAGTATTGGTGATAAGGATTGGTGACAATGACATGCCACCATACCCTGATCAGAAAAGGAATAAGAGCCTGGGAAGATGGCTCAGCAGGTAAGAGCATCTGCTGCTCTTCTAGGCGAGTTCAGTTCCCAGCGCCCTTACAGGGCAGCTCACAACAGCCTGTAACTTCGGCTCGAGGGGATCTGATGACCCTCTCTGGCCTCTGTAGCTACTTGCATACACAGTCATAAATTAAAAAAGACTAACAGGCTGTGGAGCAAATAGAATTCCCATACCTCTATTAGAGGGTGCATAAGAGGGCACGGCCACTTTAGAGCAAGGCTGGCGGTTTCTTATAAAGTGAACACACATATCTCATTTCTAGATTTTATCTAAAAGACCCAAAGATCTAGGCACAGAAATATCTGAGTGAGTATCTGGAGCAACTTTAGTCATAGCCCCTAAGCAGAAGAGTCAACTACGATGTTCATGAACAGGTGATTAAATAAACCAATGACAGGTATATCCGCAAAGTAGAATGCTTAGCCGTAACTATGGATACATGAAGCAACATGGGTGAATCTCACAATACCATGCCAAGTGAAAGATGTCTGACACTGAGCTCTCTGTGATACCGTTTATCCTAAACTCTAGGAAAGACATATAGAAAGCACCAAAAAAGGGATTATTCTCTACATTTGCTCTACCGGGCAGATCTAGGTCAGGCTCTGACTAGAAAGTGCCTTAAGGCCAACTTCCTAGTGATTGTACTTTTAGTTTCTAAACATTTTTAAGTTTTTCTACACATTGTTTCCAACTTTAGCCAACTGACCTTTCTCTTCTTTTTAATGTATTGGCAAATGTAGAATTTCCCTGACCTTGCCCCAGTTCTGGAGATCCGTGGCGTATCCAAACACATAAGGCAGTGAGGCTGACTTTCATGGCAGAGTACATGTTTTGATGGCATTAGTGACATACTTAGGCAAACAGATTTGTTATCCTGCTTTAAAAAAAAAAAAAGTTTTATTTATCTTTATTTATAAAACAGGAGTGTTTTGCCTCGATATAGGCTAGAAAGTGGGGGAACAGGATTTGGATTTCTTGGACCTGGAGTCAGACAGTTGCTAGTTAACTTGTGGGTGTTAGGAAGCAAACCCAGCTCCTCTGGACGAGCACTGACTGTCCTTAACTGTTGAGCCATTCCTCTGTCTCCTGTGCACCCATTCTAACGAATACATGCCTTCGGATGTTACCTAACCAACTCCTGTTTACTTGGCTAAACACCAGCCACTTGTGAAGCTTCTGGTGTTTTGGCTTCTGTTGGGAAACAATCAGTGATTCAGAAGGTCCCTACTTGATATTTCTGCAAGATTGTTATCTAAAAGACTTCAGCTTTCCTTGTCTTGTTTGGAGATAGGATTTTGTTTTTAAAAATGTTACGTTTTTCTAAACCAAACAAAATGAAAAACCCACAGGGGGAAAAAAGCAAACCAACCAACTAAACAAAGAAACAAATAAACCATCTTGAAGATACATTCAGATTAGCCAGTTTCTGTCAATTGCTGAGTGCTTACCATGTTCTAACTGCCTGATGACAGAATATGGCACCGATATTAGATGAAGAAAAATGATAAACACACAGTGGATTTGTATGAAAGTATTTAATAGTTGATAAAAGCACTAAAAGGCAGGATTAAAAAACTAATTCCATTCACGAATATTTTCAAGGCTCATGTGTAGTTCTCTCCACCACTCCTCACCCCTGAATATTCTGGGAAAACACACACACACAATGCACACAGATCAGCCCTTCCAATACTCCAATATGTAAGTGGGGTGTGGATCCACTGTGTTTCTAATTATTTAGAAATATAAGGTTAACGTTAAAAATAAAGAGATCCAGACTCAGGTCACCACAAAGCTTTGTAAGCATGCCGACATCCTGCAGACAGCACACAAGAGCCCAGTTAGGCCCTGTTCAAATGAGAGCACATTTCCCACACAGCGCAGGTGGCTCAAAGAGCCATCAAGCTCTACGTGGCTGTGCCACCAACTTCAGATACATCACTGTTTCAGATGCCAGTTTCAAGAACCTTTTGGTTCTAACTAATAAACACCTTATTTTTTTATTTGTTAAATTAGAAACCAAGACCTTCTTGTAAGTATAACACCCCTAAAAAAATGGTGGTTAGACCTTAAGGAAAACATGGCTGCAGTGGTTAGCACCGTCAGCTCATATAGAGCAGAAACAAAGCTGTACGCCAACCGGGGCCGTAGGATTGTATCTTTGGCTCTTGAAAGCCTCAACCATCTATCTCCCATAACCACTTTCCATTGGATTACTCTCTTGGCATGATGTTGTCCTGGATAAAAGTGAAACATGTCTAGCTAGAGTTCAGATTCCAGAGAAATGATCCTGTCAACTTATTCTACCATTAGACAGTACCTGCATTCATCCAGGTCACATACTATTTGAAAAGTTATCCAGCCAGCCTAATCTCAAGAATTAAATGTTTACTCAGATAAACTAGGTATGGTTTGACCTTTAAGATCCTGACACACATAATAAAGTGGATCTGCAACCCCCAAAGTCCTTGGGATTCTGTCCATACAGTTGGTTTTTGAGTCAAGCTTTACAGCTTCTCAAGTTGTATGTCTGCTTTTATTAAAAGCGTCAAACTTTATTTTGAATAAAGCCACAGTAAAGGTGACGAGAGCTTAGGCATTGCAGACAGAGCACTGCCTTCTCTTTATCAATGAACTGAGTCACAAATTGGCTCAGTGACTTCATTTTAAAGACAAAGCTGAAATGACAGTAGAACAAAAGGAAAGAATGTGGCTTCCAGTGTCAGCACAGCCAGACTACAGGAACAGAAAGGAAGCTCATCCCCAGAGCCTGAGTGTTGGATATTACAGGCATGTAGCCCGGGCTTCACTTTACACATAAGGAAACCAAGTGCAGAAATAGGGAGATGCTACTGTAGTTCTTGAACTTGACTGTGATTAAAAAAAAAAAAAGCACTCTGCCTCTCACAAGGATACCCATTAGAAGCAAAGCTCTTGAGTCACCTTTCGGTTTGGGGACAAAAATCTCTGTGGCTGCTGTAAGGCAGGCATGTGTAACATGAGTGCCCTGATTTCTCAGGTGCACGCTAATGTTGAATATGGCGTCAAGCCAGCACACAGAGCACAGTGAGTGGGCAGTGTGTTACGAAGCACTTCTTTCTACTTCTTTCTCACGCTGTCAGTCAGGAAAAAGGATGACGTGAAGTCAATCTCTTGCTCTTTGGAGCCACAGAAGTAAGGCTGGTTGTGAGAAGATGTTTGAAGAGAGGGGTCATTTCAGGCTGTTCAGAAACCTGGCGTGCTCCTCCCCTCTGGGCAACAGTGTTTCTCCTCCTATCTTTGGACCAGTCTTCTCCTAGAAAAAGGAGAACACATGAATAAGAAATGGCTTACCTTTATTTTCTGGGGTCACCAACTTAATTATGAAACAGAGTGTAGGTAACACACAGCTAGATAACATCTAGAATGTCCCCAAGGCCATTTGTTACAGCTTTGGCAACAGCTAGGTGCTCCTGGGAGGTAAGGGACCCTAGTGGGAGTTTTTAGAGCACTGGGGATGAGACCCTGAAGGAACAGAGGACCATGGCTCTTTTTAGTTCTGAACTGTGAGATAAACAAGCCTCCCTTTGTCATCTCCTCCCAGGGCCAAAGACAGACTAACCAGTCAGCATTGGAAGAACCATGAGCCAAAGTAAACCTTCCTGCTTTTAAAGTTGATTAGCTCCGGTCATCTGTTACAGTGATGGAAAACAGATGACCATACATACCTTTAGCATGCCATCCCGTTCCCACTTGTAGAGGCCACAGTTACTGAAACAGAAAAAATGGCTTTACTCAGTAGTAAGGTATTAATGGTCCCCCAACCCCATACACATAGACAATGGGGGGTGGGGGTGTCACTGAGGGGAAAAGCTGTCTCTTCAGTCAAGGAAGAGCTGCTCAAGGAAGTACTCATACATCCCATCTATGGTTATGCTTGAAGCTACAAAGAGTAAGCACTTCAGTGACTTGAGAACGGCCTTCCACTTCTCTACCATCTGGAGACTTCAGAGATGATGGTGCAGGTGACAGTACAACAGGGCAGTGCACACCCCAGTGAGGAACACACTCTAGCCACTAATTTATGTTCACTGGAGGAGCACGTTGACAACAGAGGAGCCAGGGGGAGCACCATCCTTCTAAAAGCTACTACAAAGCACCTGTTCTCCCATCTGTGGGCTGCACATACTGCTCAACCGTCGGTGAGCACCGTGTGTGCCCTTCACCTGGGGGACTATACAGGAAGGGCCACAGAGTCAGAGAACCCCATGCGACTCTCATACCTGCAGTGCTTATTTGGGAGCCTGTCAAGGGAGATCGTCCTGTTCCCACAGGGGCATCTGAAAAACCTCTTTACGCCGTCATGCCAATGGAGGTTATGCTGTTCGCTGACGCAGGTCTCCAGAGGCTTGAAGTGGGTGTAGGTGCACTGCACAGACCAACACACACACGTCCAGTGAGGGGCTTGGAAGGGGAGACAAGGAGCTGCGATCGGGGACCCCAGACTGTCACTACTGAGATGAAACCAACTCATCTTCCTTCATTTCTTTTGTTTTTTTGAAACAGGGTTCTATAGCCCAGGCTGGTCTTAAGCCTGCGCTCTCTTACAGCCTCCTCTCTCCTAGGATTGAAGGCAGGAGTCAACATACCAGGCTCAACTAGTTTTCTTGACTGTCTTATACCACTTCTTTAAAGTAGGCCCAGTTAAGTAGAAGCATATAACAACATTCATTGACACTGAGTTGTTGGGAAGTCTGAGCTTGGTGATGCAGCCTCTACTCGCAGTGTTTGGGAGGCTGATGCAGAGGGTTGCAAGCCTGAGGACAGCTTGGCACACACAGCGAGTCAGGGCGCCAGATAGCAGAGTCTGAACATCAATCAACCCCCGGGATTCGTCAGAACTTGGCATACTGCAATAGGAACAACTTGGTCCTAGTGTCCTCACAGCAGAACCTCCCTGCCAACGCTCCACTGCACGCCTCCCAGGTCGGCAGGGAGCCTGAACCTGTCCATCCTGTGCTGCTTATTCTCCGCTCTAATGAGGTGACACACTACAAGATACGGTCCCACAGTTCCCAATGTCCTGCCCAACTGACACTTCTAAACAGAGCCCCTGCCTTGCACACACCGTTCTGCATGTCACCACTCGGCATTTCACTTCTCTGATGCTTCTCATCTTTTCTTCCATTTGTTCTTTTTTCACCAGTGGCTCAAAATAGGATTTCTGTAGCTCAGCCTCGGCCTGAATGACAAAACCAACAGGAGTAACTGCACCAAATCCAATACATGCTCAGAACAGTTCAACAATGACTGGTGATTTAGCTCAACAGCCATCAGAACAGAGCTGAAGAGATAGGTAAAATGTCAGACCCTGCAGAAGGTAAACCAACTGCAAGCCAGAGACCATAATAGGTAGAAAAGAGACTTTGTTATTTCAAGACAGGGTTTCTCCTTGGCTGTCCCGCACTCACTTTGTGCAGGCCTCCAACTCACAGTGATCCACCTGCCTCTGCCTCCAGCTGGGGTCAAAGGTGTGCACCACCACGCCTGGCTGAATAAAGTCCATACAATACAGATTTAAAAAGATAAAAAGACCTAAAAGCATTTGGTATTAAAACAAATTCAAATAGGAACCAGTGATGTTATTACCAGTGCCAGTAAACTGAGGCTGCGTCAGCAGGCAGCCAGCTCAACACACTGCTCCGACAGACTCCACAGAGGGAAGGCGTCCACGCCCCCCTGGATGACAGCCCCACCTGCTAGGTACTGGTCTCTACAAAGGCTCAGGGCACAGGAACATCCCAACAGTATGAGGATGAGGGCAGGGAGCTGTTTCTGAAGAGTAATGACACAGGTCTGACACTGGAGCAACCATACAACTCGACAGTGTGCACAGCACCTCTGGGAACACACAAGCTCGGTCTGGAGTCTCTGGGGTTGGCATTGTCCTCATCTCTCAGTTTTAGTCAAGTAGAAGGACTTGTGTAACCTACTTGTTAGGTATTAATCAATTAGAAGAACAGATAATTGGGAATGGTGGCACTCCCCAGGGACATTCTGAGAGCTCATTATCTAGTTGATTGTTACCTCGACCCTAGCAGGGTGCTACTTTTTCTACAGTCCCCACGACAGAGAAACATTCCTTGTCCTACACAGACATGGCGTGCTCTAGGAGACACGTGAACAGACCTGTTTTCTACACAACTTGACATACTTGTGAGTGGTTACCATATGCGTGACTATTCCAAGAACACTCGTCCTGTGTATACTGAAGGAGGACTGGACTTCAGTTCCCCAGGATAACTCACTCTTTGTTCTGCTGAAGCCTCATGCCTAGGTTGTACCAGACTTACAATTTCAAGCAGCAATGGGAGGACACTAGACACTTGGTCCTCATGGAGACTGTCCATGGAAAGTAAGGTTTTTATCTCCAAGACACTGTGCTAGCAAGGGACATGATCAAGAACGTAATAACTATTGGTGCAGAATGTGAGAGGTAAGGATAATTGTAGTCAAATCTTATCTCTTCCAGGATAAGCTATAGCCAAGCATTTAAAAGATGAAATACATATTGCCAGAAATACTTCCCTGTGCTCTTTCATACTAGTTAGTATATTTTATCTTTGAAACTATAAATAAAGTTTATTTTTTATTTTATATTCATAGCTTATATGATAAGCAATTTAAATAACCCATTAGTTTGATAAGGATTCTTGCTATTAAAATACTTGTTATTAAAGGGGTTAGGAGTGATAGGGCTAACTGTTGACTGGAAGTACCTGAAATGCCAGTATGAAAATACTGAATGTTAACCTGTGATTAGTATAAAAAAAAAAAAAAAAAAGCTGAATGGGCTGGGCAGTGGTGGTGCATACTTTTAATCCCAGCACTCAGAAAGGCAGAGGCAGGCGAATCTCTGTGAGTTTGAGGCCAGCCTGGGTACACAGTAAGTTCTAGGGCACAGCCAGAGCTACACAGCGAAACCATGTCTCAGGAAAAAAACAAAACAAAACAAAACAAAAAAAACCCGAATAAAAAAATTCCTCCTATTGTAGAAGAAACCAGCAAGTAGTAAACATTTTGACATAATTTACAGTCATACTATATGTAAACATTTTTATGATGTGGCAGTCTACTTAATAACAGTTGTTATTCTTTAGGGCAAGGGCAAATGAGAAGTTACAATGTCACTGAGGGTACCAAGCAGATGGCTCAGTGGGTAAGAACTCCTTTCCTGCAAGCCTGACAACCCGAGTTTGAATCCTTGGAACCCACATTTTAAAAGCTGGCTACGGTGGAACATATCTGTAGCTCTAGTACTACTAAGACAGAAACAAGAAATGCCCAGAAGCATGTGTGCCAGCCAGCTGCAGTACAGAACACAGAGTACTTTTTCACTTGTGTAAGAGAAGCAGATCCTTAGTCCTCCCCGAACCTTGTTTGAAGGACACTGACCCAATCAATCCCTTAGGTGCTTACCTCTTGCAGGATGTCCGTGTGCTTGGACTTTGCTTTTAGTATTTTCTGAAACTCCTCTGATTCTAAGTAAGCAAGTTGCTCTCTCCTTTTTTTCCTGGCAGGCTCCAACTCATCTGCAGAAGAACATTAGCTATTACTGAGAAGACATGAGAGCCAGCATGCTTCATTCATTCAACTCCCTTCTGCTCTTTGCCTGCCCACCAGGCTATTCAACCTTGACACCAGGACCCCAGTTATAACTGGCAGGGGTGACCTCAAGAGTGAACAGGAAGGGGGCATTGATGGCCTATGATCCCATTATTGGCAAAGGTGAGGTAGGAGGATTGCCAAGCTTGAAGACAACCTGGGCTACATACTGAGACTTTGTTTAAAAAGAAAAGGCAAACAAACAAAAAAGGTAACAAAAAATTAAGCAGAGGTAGAGCCTAGATCATGAGGTAGAACCAGCTTGGCAACAAGAACAGATGGGTTTTCTCTTCTGATTACAAAGACAGAAGAACAAAACCTTGACTTACAAGCTAATTTTCAACGACATTTAGCAGCTTCCATGCTTTAAAAAAATAAAAGCAGCAAATTAAAACAAAGGAACTCTGTTCCTTTCCAAACCTTATGTTAGAATACGATGCATATTTAGTGAGCCATCTTTTTCCCACTTGCTCAGACTACCCATAATTCCAGTTCAAGTTAATGTGATCATACACAAATGACTGGATGAACCAGGCAGGTGATATGGTGACTGTAATCCCCACCCTCAGGACTCTGGAGCAAGAAGATGGAGTTGGAACAAGTGCAACTTTGACTATTTAGAGACCAACTCAAAACCAGCCATTGATATCAGGGTACTAGCTATGCGTAGAAGACTTCTTTTAGAAACAGGGTCTATCTGTCTACTACCTACTGTGTGAAGCTGCCGTACCTTCAGGAGGATCCGTGTTGCTCTTCTCTGCACGAGCCTTCACTTCCAGCACATCTTGGGGGTCCATTTGCTTCCTTACAATATTGTTTGGATCTCTTTTGATAAGAATCTGGCCTTTTGCCCTTAATTTTGCAATAGCAGCTAACTAGGGGGGAAAAAAGTTGAGATAAGACTGGCCCCTATAGTCCCACAGCCCACTTAATGTTCTCTAATAGAAACTGTGCTAGTGAGACAGTCCCGTGGGAAAAGCCTGACCATCTGAGTTCTATCCTGGGAACCCACAGGGTGGCCAGAGAACCTATTCCTGCAAGCTGTCCTTGGACCACCACATTCATGGCATGTTCATGTAGACACACATGAAAGACCACACACTATCACAGAACAGACACAGGTGGTCTATAAACAGCAAAGAACTAGGTCTAAAGATGATGTTTCATAGAAATATACACTAAGAAATAGCAGAAATGCGTATAGGGACTTTTCGGATATTGTTGGAAAGTCTATTTTAATCTCAAGCCAAAAAATTCACTTAGCAACTCTTAAATCAAATGTTCTAACAATACGTTTCAGAGATAAAATTTCATACTTATATCCTGAGGAAAGATGGGAGGAAAATAGTAAATGTTTTTGCTTGCTGTAAATATTCTTTAGTAGTAGAAAATTGTACATACACCAAAAACACTGCAAATTATAATGTAGAATAGGCTGGATTCCAGAGGAGGGTGTTTGATTCTGAGGTAATTTTTCAGACATTGTAGGCGCATAAGCTTTTATCAGTGATAAAATTTTCATGACTCATAACTTCAGTTATGAGAGCCCCATACATTTGCATAGTTTTATCAGAACAATGACAGGGCTCTTTTGCCTAATGCTGCTGTCTCAAGCTGTAGAACAGTACCTTCCTGAGGGCTGCCTACTCTAGACTGACAAGAAATTGTATGGGGATAGCTGTTCTCCGATTCACGGATTAGATTAATGGCATTATGCTGATACCATTACCGTTGCAAATCACTTTGAGTCTATTTAGGGTGACTGGTAAATAGGTGCTAAGTGACTATCTTTTTGGCCATTAGTATAGAGTTTCAAATAAAATCTCTTGCCACAGAACGCAAAGGCAAGCAATGAAAAACAAATCAAAACCTTAAAAAATTTTTAACAAAAGATTTGGGTGTGCACGGTCTATGTGAGTGGTTGTGTGCATGTGTATAAAATGACGAGAGAGTCTTTCTTGCTTGATCACTCTGACCTTATTTATTTAAATGTTATTTATTTGTCTGTCTGGTGCCTGCTTGTCTGTATGTACACATATGTATGCAGGTATCCTGGAGGCCAGGGGAGGGTGTTAGGTCTCCTGGAACTGGGGTTACAGCTGTGTCAGCTGCCTGATGTATGTGCTGGGAATCCAACCCAGGTTCTCTAAAAGAGCATCCAAGGCCTCTAACCAAGGACCCATCTCTCCAGCCCCGTCCATCTCATCTTGAGATAAGATCTTTCCTTGAGCCCAAAACCCACCAGTTGGCCACAATGGCTGGCCATCATGAATCTGTTTGTGCTCCCCTCCTCTGCTCAGGTCACACACAGCCACCACGGCTGGCTTGTTACATGAATGCTAGGGGTCCTAGCTCAGGTCCTCCAGCACAGCAAGCGCATCACTGACTGAGCCGTCTCCCTGACCCCCAGTTACCTTTTTAGCTTCTGCTGCTGCACTCAGTTTTGGTCTTGGTGGTGGTGATTCATCAAAGAAGAGAACATCGTCCCCTTTTGAGATGCCTCTACCGAGCTTAGGCATCGGAGGGGCTGGGGTTCTTTCCAACTTGGGGAATTCAGCCCCAGTCCGAGGAGACTGGGCAGCAGCCTGTGGAGAGGAACACGGCACTGCGGGCCTCTTGACTTCACTTGTGCTCTGGAGGAATCTTAAAAGGAATATGAAGTAACTATAAACATGGGCTGGGGGTGTGGCTCAGCGGCACAGCATTTATTTGTCTAGCATGCCCTAAGCCCTGGGCTCCAGCCTACAACCCAAACCCAAAGTAAGTAAAAGTAGGTCAATAGACACCCAAGGCTCCAAAGACTTAGAACTCAAAGTAGACTGGGAGAGCTTGGATAAGCTAGAGAGGACGATTACAACAATGTTGGTAAACGATTCCTTTCTTTGGTCAATAATCCAGAATAGCAACTAAGAATGCCACCAGCTTTGCTCACTCTTGCCTGATTGAATACAGGGTGGCTGCTCCATCCCTTCCTAACAGATGACTGTTTTTCCAACTGGCTTGCAGGAGAAGCTGTCTTCGGCACACATCTAAAATTGTAATGCAGAAGTATCTCTGTGTGTGGTTAGCTGTAAGGGCCCCAGGGCCTCACTGAATGTCCCTGCTTTTCGTTTTATCCTATAGGAAGGGAATACGTAAGGAATGCTTAGAAATCCCTCACAAGGAAGAAGGGATGAGATGGTGAAACGGCATGGGGGTGCAATGACTAAGATTTCTTATAGACATATATGAAACTGTCTAAGAATTAAAAGAAATAAGAGTCTTTAACAAAAATGGCTCTGCAATCTACATGGTGATCTTTTATATAGGTTTAACATTATTAGAAAGATATTATTAGAAAGGCCAGGTGTGAGGGGCTGGAGACATGGCTCAGTGGTTGAGAGCACTGACTACTCTTCAAGAGGTCCTGAGTTCAATTCCCAGCAACCACATGGAAGCTTACAACCATCTATTTTGTGATCGAATGCCCTCTTCTGGCATGTAGGTATACATGCAGATAGAGCACTCATACCCATTTAAAAAAAGGAAATAAGAAAGAAAGAAAAAAAAAAAAGAAGGCCAGGTGTGGTAGTACATGCCTAAAATTCTAACACTTAGGAGGTACAGTTAGGATTATGAGTTCAGAGCCAACCTGGGCTACATGAGACGGAGTCTCACTATGTAGCACAGAGCCTTGAACAGACAATTCTCCTGACTTGGCCTCATCGGTGTTAGGATTGCAGGTATGCACCACCCTGTCTGACTCAGAACCAACCTTCCTTCCAATAATGACCTAGCTATACTTTATTTAAGGTATATTTAAGAATGAGACCATTCTACACATATATGAACTATCTACTTAGTTCTCATCAATTTTAGCACAGACACAAAATTAGATGTTAAGTTTCAGGAGATGCAGAAATGAACAAGACAAAATTCTTTTAGTGAAGTAAAAGAATTTCACATTTTATAGTTGTTTGCAATATCCACAAGATAATCCTCAAGAAGGATGCATAGACGTCTTGCATGGTCACTCTGTTGCTCAAACTTGTAACTCTCCTGCCTCTATCTTTAAGAGCTGGGATTACAGGCACATGCTACCATGTCCAACAGTTTCAAAAACTTACGTGTATTTACTGACATATGTGTGCCTGCCACAGTGTACATGCACGAGGCCACAGGACCACAGGGAGTTGGTTCTGTATTTTTATTATGTTGGCGTGGGGATGGAACCCAGCTTGTATGGCTTGGTGGCAATCATGTTTACACATTGAGCCACTTGCTAGGCCCAGGCCTGACATATTTTAAATAACACAGTCTGAGACTTCACTTCAGAACCGCCCAAGCCAAACTTCTCATTTTGTAGATAAAATATTGAGCTCAAGACCAGTGCTCAGACAGCCTCTTCATACCTCTCCTCTTTCTCCTTTCCAGGGCTGTACTAACTGCTCTTCTCTGTACCAGCAGGCTCTGGGAGCAGGAGCATTAGTGAGAGGCAGACAGCTTGATGTTCTTCAAGTTATTCCTAGAATAAGCTATCCCAACAGTTGAATCTACTCCTCTTACCGTTTCTGTATTTCTTCTGATTTCCGCTTCCGCATTTCCAGCATCTGCTGTTTCTGCTGCTTCAAGAGGGCCGATGCTGAGATAGACTGGATAGCAGGTTTTGGGCTTCCCAGTATGCCTAAAACAAAAGCCACATACTGAGGGGTTGTGGGAAAGGTCTGGGGAACATGGGCACACTATAATCACACATGCTGACTGTACCTGAAGTAGCTTTGGCTAAATGCTTTAAGTTTCTGGCTCCAAATGTGGGTAGGGCCATCAGTTCTTTGAACTCCTCAGAACAAGACAAGCTCTTCTGGGGAATTCCTGAAACATATAAACATTAATCACAGAGGATTAAAAATTAATTGACTTGATATCATGTGACATCACTTTTTAAACCCTGTAGTCATAACTTAGTAACGATGAAGAAGATGGAATACTAAAAAAAAGCAGAACTTTTAACTTAAAGGTCAGACTAGTAGGACAGCAAGGGGATCATGAATATCAAACACTAAGCCCTCAGGTCTGTGGGGTTCACGGATATGCCATTTCTGGAATCCGCGTGAGTAAGAGGCCATACAGGTTCCTGGTTGCTCTTCAGACCACAGTACAGGTGGCCTGATGCTGTCTGATCTAGGCCCTACTTTAACAAAAGGTAGCTGGCAAAATCTGCCAGGTATCTGATACTAATGCTGGATCATTGAGAGCCTGACCAGCCACATGAAGAAATTTCAGAAACGATATGAAGCAAAGGCACGCTAAGATCATGTTGCAGATTTTCTTTTCTGCTCCATTGCCAAACTTCTTTAAGTTTATGCCACACTGTCCACTAAGCCCAGGGGATGAGTGGCTATTCATCACTGAAGAGTGCAAGTAAGCCATATCCATTCTCAGGCCCAAATACTGCATCCATTGGATGCATGAACAAAGAATAACGGAGACAGAGGACGGGTGAACAAAGAATTACCGAGTTTTTGTTTTGTTTCTTGGATGATAGAGCCTGTGCCCTTCACAACCAGATTAGTCAAAGTGGTTTGAACCTTCTTCTTGGGAGCAATAGCTGCTGCCCTGAAATGCCAAGAGTGAAAGCAGAAAGTAAGTTACTAAAAATACAATGCCTTCAGAAACAAAACTCAAGGATTCTCAACGCATTTGTTACCAACTGTCCAAATTCCGCAAGCCCTACACAAGTAAGTTCTGCTAGCCACAGCTCAGTAGCCCTCGAGTTCTAGTTTATATTCCTAATCACAGATGGAGAACTTAACGATTTGCTTGAGGCCTTGCTGAAGGGCCAGAAACATCAAAAATATGCCAATACTTGAATTGTCTTAAAATAATTAATGACTGCTAGAAGTTAGTATGTTACAATTACAGGTAAGTTCAAAATATTATTAGAAGCTATGCAGAGTAGCATATACATGTTATCCCAATACTAGGGAGATGCAAGCAGGAGGATCAGGAATTCAGGCCAGGCTGGAGTGTCAAGCCAGCTTGGGCTACATGAAATCCTGTCTCAAAAAATTAAAAAACTACACTGCTCTTAGAAATATCATTAGTATTCACTCACAGGGCATACTTAAAATAACCATATAAAAGATACCCTATGACTACTAAAAATGACTAAAGAGATATCACTCAATACACAGAAAGTACAAATCTTGTTGCCTAATTCTTTAAGATTGTTTTTAGATCAATCACAGTTTGGTTCCTTTGTACATTTTCTGACCTGTCACACTCTCAGATGCCATCCTTCGGGCAAGACGACAAGGTCCACATCACCTGGGGTCCCCACAGTCTAGAATCCCAGTAGAGGACCATGATCACCCTCCTGTACCATCACCACACGCTTATGTGAGCTACATCAACATGTGAGTTCATAAAGGTAAAAGTGGGTTTAAAAGGTTTGCAATCTCACCATAAAACAATAATGGTAACAAAACAAGAAATAATAATAAAGGGAATGACTCAAGAAAGGCCGAAACGTTTTTTGCTTTAATACAGCAACTCCTATATCCCTAGCTGGCCGAAAATTTTGCCACAGCTGGGCACGAACTCTTGTTCCTGCCTCCACCTCTTAATTGTTTTCTCCCCCTTTAAAAAGGTTTTACTTATTTAGTTAATGTGTATATGCATGTGTCTAAGTGTAGGTTTGTGCACATTGACCCAGAGAGATCAAAAGAGCATCAGATCTCCTGAAGCTGGAGGTCCAGCAGTTGTGAGCCACCTGACATGCGTACTGGGAAACAAACTCTGGTCCTCTGGTGAACAGTATGCACGCAACCATCTGCCCAGCCCATTTTCTCTATTTGGGACAGGGTCTCCTCCCTATATAGCTTAGGCTGGCCAGAGAGTCATGCTCTTTCTGCCTCCGTCTCCCAAAAGATGGGATTGCAGGTATGAGCTATCACATCAGGATCTATGTTCAAGATCACCATACAACTCACTTTCCATTCATTCTGAATGTGCTTCTCCCTCCCTAGGAACAAAAGATGTCCTTAACCACCTCAGCTTCAGCCATGAAAAAAAGCTCAGGTGAGCACCCCAGCACAGGCACAAAATAGTCCAACCAGCTTCCTCTTAAGAGACTAGCAAAATCCTTTCCCAATAGCAGCCCAGAAATGCCTTACATGGATGCTGCGAAGGATTCAGAAGAAACCCCGCCGTAGTAGAAACCATCTTGGCACAGCCGCTCTTTCAGGCTGGTGCCTTTGCGGAACTTCTTTGGAATCCGTCCCCCGGAGAAAGTGGACTGCAGATCAGACCGCTTCGCACTAAGCTTCTTGTATTGGGCCTGGATGTGATACTGGCAGTATTCACAGTCATGCTGCAGGGGAGAGCACCTGGTGAGGACTTGGTCAGCAGCCTGGGGAGCAGGGCCGCCCACCCATCTCTCCTAGCCTTACAACACTATGTGCAGGATGAGGCCTGTGACCTCCAGAGCTTCCATTTGCTCATCCACCCTAGCACCTAGCCTATCCCTCATGACTGATTCTTTCCAGAGGCAAAAACTAGACTAATGGATTTGAGACCCACCAAATTAACAGTCTGTGTACACGGCTCTCCATTCTTCTTCTTGGCTTTACAGGTTCCCAGGTCCATGGCTTCTCCCATAATTAAAACTTTGTGAGGATGATCAATAGATAAGCACACCTGCGAGAGAGAACATATGTAAGTGCTAACAGCCTTTATCCTAAGAATGGGTGAAGGAATGTCTGCAGCTGAATTTAGGAAGGCATCTTAGAGGTCAATGCTCAAGACTGTCTCAGCTCCCTTCTCTGTAACCAACTTTTCCTTCCTCTTGGTTGTCAGAATCCTGTCTGTCCAGGCTGGCCAAGTGCTCATACTCAGACAATGGACACAGCCCTCTGTTTTCCCAACATTCCTACAGCTAACAATGGTCTTGTGACAAAGGCTTGGCAAGTTAGGCTGAAACAGGCCTTGATAGGGAAGCTCTTGAGTTCCTACTAAAGAGCCAGGCTGGCTCACCCTTCTCCATCCTGCCACCAAAAGTGAGAGGAGGCGAGGACAGTCTGAATGACCTTTGCTGACTCAGATCTTCCACTCACTGATGCCAATTCTTAGGCAACCTACCAAGAATACAGGCTGAGATAAGAAGGAATGTCCTCAGGTGCCTGGGCCCTGTCCTTGTTTCCAGAACATCCTGTCCCTTGAGATCAGAGGGTCCAGTGGTTACTTGGTAACCAGCCAGCCGCTGTGCAAACTTTGCCACAGGAAAGACTCCATCTACACTGGACAGTTGTGAGCCTGGAGGGATGAGCCCCACAGAGCATGGCTTCTAGTGATTCTTGCAGAACAGCTATGACAGAGCTGCTTTACCTAACTGGACTCACACCCTGCTAACAGAGTTTGTACAAAGCTCCCCACCAGCTCTAGGCTCCCAACCCAAGATCAGTAACGAATAGTTTTTCTCTCCCAGGATAGGGAGACACAGTATCCTGCCTCATAGTGATTCAGTGTTATCTTGTGATCAAGGGAGAAAGGCAGAAACTCACTGTGGTGGTTTGAATAAAAATTGATCCACCATTTCATAGATGTGAATGTTTAGTCCCCAGTTGGAAATATTTTGAGAAGGATTAGCAGGTGTGACCACGTTGCAAAAAGCCTATGACTGGGAGTGAGCTTCGAGGTTTCAAAACCCCACACCAGTCCCAGTCTCTTTCTCTGACTCAATGGAGTAGGATGTGAGCTCTCAGCTACTGCTTTGCTGCCATGCCTGCCTGTTTGCTGCCATACTCCCACCCATGATAATCATAGACTCACCCTCTGAGTGAGTCTGGAAACAAGGCCTCAGTTAAAGACTTTCTCTTATCTTGGTCATGTGCCTCTTCACAGCAATAAAAAAGTAACTAAGCCACTCACAGAGATAAGACATCACTAAGTTATCTATTTCTAGTTTTGGTTGTTTTTCTGTGTATAGGAGGACGGCCCAAATTCTCCACAAAGCTCAAACTGGCCCAAAACTTATGACTTTCCTTATACTGGACTTCTAAGAATAAAATGGGCTGGCTAGATGGCTCAGTGGGTAAAGGTGCTTGCTAACACCCCTGAGGAGCTGAGTCCAATTCTTGGGGCCCATTGATAGAGGGTGGGAACCAGTTTTGCAAGTTGTCCTCTGATCTCCACATGTGTGCTAACACCCATGCACCCCACCTCCAGTCCACAAAAGACAAATACAGGTAGTAAAGTAAAAAAGAAAAAGGATGAGAAGGAAAAATAGTTGGTCATGATAACTGAACAGACCACACACACACACACACACACACACACACACACACGCACGCACGCACGCACACACAGCTGTTTTGGTTTTATGAGACAGGATCTTACCTTGCAGCCAGACTGGCCTTGAAGTAATGGCAATCCGGTGGCCTTTGCCTCTGGAGTTCAGGGATTTCAGGTGTGAACTACCACACCCATTTAAATCCCACTGTTTATTGTTTAAGAAAGAAAACTCCATTGAATTTTGTTGTTGTTGTTGTTTTGAATGGCCAAATACACTTTCAATCAACAAAGGAATGCTTTTTGCTATTCTCTACTGGAAATAAAGTCCTTGCTGGGTCAGAGTAGAAAAACTGCCCATTGCCATTCACACCTGTTAGCAATTCACACGGGAAGCAACACAAAACCCTAATGCAGCTCAGAACGAAGATCCGCTTTAGCTCTGAGCATCAGCTAGGACTGTAAAATTAATAAAGCAAAATTCATTCAACTGCAACACACTGATCTTGATACAACCATGGACATTTATGTAAGGAATCTATGGAAACTGAGTGGGAAAGTTCAATAAACTTGGGCTGATGAGATGGCTCAGCAGGTAAAAGTGCTTGGGTAAGGCTGACGCCCCAAGTTCAATCCCCAGACCCACATAAGTAGAAGTGACTCCATAAAGTTATTCTGTCATCTCCACATGTGAGCTGTGTCATGCAAGTGCGTGTTCTGTCTCTTTAATAATAAGTAAAATAGTAATCATAATAAGAGTTCAATAAACTCTGGGGAATTGTGGCGCTAATTCAAAGCCATTCAGAAAAGGCAGATTCATGGACTACTATAGGGCAATAAGCCAATAAATGAAGAGCCAGACTAATGGGGACAGAATGAGGTAAAGCCTCAGAGAAACACAGTGTTTCTGATGGAACGGTGACTGTACAAACCACCAGCCGAGCAGCCGAGCGGTCAGTCGAGCAGCCAAGCAGGGTTCTTACCTCCTCTGAGCCATCTTTGGGCTTCATGGGATTTGCGTTGAGCAACCCTATGACGGTCCCTTGCTCTGTCTTCCAGAGATCTTTGTGAACATCTCCAAACAAAAACAAGGACACACACCGTGTCAGGTCTCGAAGGTCGTTCAGTTTCCAGATGCTAAATGTTTTCCCCTGGAGTGAACAGAGCTATTTTTAATAATTCTTGAACCCTGGCTCACAGTGCCTCCTCTTATGGTTAAAGTGTCTTATTGTGGAAATCTATTCACCCTAAATAATGGTTGTCAGAGTGTTTTCAAATTATGCATTAATTCTTTCTTTGGGCTTTAGTATTCAATACATGCCTCATTTCAAACATAAGAGAAGCAAGGCAGGTCACAAGCAAACACAGAGGGTCTAACTGCTGTCTAGCACTGCCGTTCAGTGTCACAGGCACAAGACCGTGAGCAACAGCCTGTATGAGAAAAGCAGCAGCTACTGCATTGTCACCTGTAACCCGGTCGTAGGACTAGAAGCCAGGTAACCACTGCTCATCGCTGTGCTAATCACCAGTGTCTCAGCACACCTCGCTGATGTGGGCTGGCAACCTCAGCACCTCCGGATTATCTCACACCCACAGGATCCCTGGGATCTGTGGACTCTGATTACTTGGTCTTCTCCACACACAGGAGAGATTACAGTATCTCAGGGACCAACATAGGTGTCCCCTAAAACAGAGACAACTGAAATGCAGTAAGAATGACTGGAAAATAAACAGTCCAACTGGCTCTAAGTCAAGAGTTCTTTGTAGACACTACCCTCGAACCCCAACCCAAAGATGTGTGCCGACTAGAAGTTATTTCTAAAGAAGGACCAACTGGCACCAGATGAAGGGCTGGCGACCCCACTTTAGCCTGGGCAGGCACAGCTCAGGAGTCAGTAAGGCAGCTTACGCTGTTAGCGCTCTGTGGAGTGACCTTCCTCAGAATAACCCCAAATGTCACCCAGTCCGTTTCCTCCAGGTTCTCAGTTGCCATCTTCTCCTTGATCTGAGAGAGTCTGATCAGTTTCCGACCTGTCATCTTCCTGTTCATTTCTGTGGAGGATACTCGCGGTCGCCTGGGTCAAGAAGTGGTAATTGCTAGGTCATTATTCTGCTGACAGACATCCAACACCTCACCAGTTGGCCCAGGGCTCACGAGGGGCAGCAACCTTTCCAGTGTCTTGGAGGACTTTTATATACTACGGAGAGCATAAATTTATCTATCTATCTATTTATTTATTTATTTTTGTTTTTCGAGACAGGGTTTCTCTGTGTACCCTTGGCTGTACTGGACTGTGTAGACCAGGCTGGCCTTGAATTCAGAGATCCACCTGTCTCTGCATCTCACCTTGGCCCTGAGAGCTGGGCATTGCCCAGCCATACATTTATTTTTATTGATCTAGTTTTGGTTTCTGGAGATGGAATCTCACTATGTACCCCAGGCTGGCCTGGAACTCATAATCTTCCTACCTCAGCCTGATTACAGAATTTTCCCTGAAGTATATCAAAATAATTTAAAAAGTGAGGCTTACATTTCCATGGATATAGATTTGCCTATAAAGCTTACTTTCTAATCTTTTGTAATCTTATTAGAATTACAAGAAGGTACTGTTATCTAGTTGACTCTCAACCCTCTTTCTTCAGCTTCCTCAGTGTGGGATTTAATGGTATGAACCATCACACCTAAATTGTTTATATTTATATATTTTAAAATAGCCAAGGACCCTAACAATGCATGCAATGAATTGTCTAAACCTCACCTACAGAAAGATGAGGTTTTAAAATAAAATCACTGTTTTGATCTGCCAACTTCTGATTAAATATCTATTATTTGTCCATTTCCTTTTAAGAGGTAAATATTCTTTTTGTTTTGTTTTGCTGACAGGGACTCCTACATAGCCCTGGCTGCCATGGAACTCACTATGTAGACCAGGCTGGCCTTGAACCTCCTCCTGCCTCTGCCTCTGGATTGCGGGGATTAAAGGTGTGCACCACCATTCTTCATTGTGTACACAAGCCTTCCATAAACAGCCCACACCACACCACACTGAGGTAAGACAAGTGCTGCCCACAGCGTTGCTAAGCTCCCTCAGTCAAGGCTGCTGCTCTGTGGATCAGCTGCACACTCGAAGCCTCTACAAGACCCACCTTTTGACAAGGAGGAGCCATCTAGCGGGAAAGACAAAGGGATGTTGCAGCTACTGACCTGAGTCGTAGGCCTGAGAAGGCTTCCACAGAGACCTGGGGAACCTGTGGAGCCCGTTCCCCAGCATTGCCAGGGGTTCCTGTGCTCTGATTTCTAGCCGTCCAACTGGGTTTATTCCTAGGAACAGCTTGTGGTGAGGGTGCACTCGTTGACCTTGAAGAGGAGCTTGTAGGCTCTACAAAACTGGAAATAACCTGGAGTGGTTGGGAGGATGTACTTGTCCTTGAGGATGACTCTAGAAAATCAGCACAAGAAGTAGGAAGAGAATGACTGAGAAAAAGAAAACCTGCTTACCGAGCAAATTCTTTTTGTTATCGACATATAGGATAGTTTTTTGTTGCTGTTTTGAGACTGGGTCTCACTCTGTAGCCCAGGTTGGCCTAGAATGCAGGTCCCTCCAAACGCTACATGTATAAGCGTGCACCAACATGCCTCAGGTAGTCAAGTCTTGGCAGAGAACAGACCACTGACTATTCTCCAAATCTCGGCAGTGCTGTTCAGCAGACCTTTGTGTGGCAAGGGTCGGCATCTCACAAATGCTTGTGACTCCAGCTCCAAGGGATCCCACCCCGCTGCAGGGATCTGCACACACACAAGCTCATTCTCCCCACAAACCTCTCCCACACACCATACACACACTCACTGAGCAGTGAGACCCAGCAGAGCCTTGAATACCACACCTGCAGGAGTCTTGGGCGTCCGGGCCACACGTTTGGCTCTGGGTAAAGCAGGGACATCAAGTTCTTCGGAGAAGCATGCTGACTCCTGAATTCTCCGAACTTTCTTCTCCTTAAGAAGGGGCTGCCGAGATGTGCCTTCTCGATATAAAATAAAAGTAATCAGAAATGGTACCGTTTTGGCAGGAGCTAGATGAAAGTAGTAATGATACTGTTTGTTGGTAACAAAAAACACATAATATCACTAAGATTATAGTCACATTTACCAGGTAACTCGTGCAAGCGGGCTGTACCTGGAGGCTGTTTAATTGATGCCGCTTTGAGCTGCTCCTGCAAGGCTTTCATTTGCTCTTGCAACTTCTTTAATTCATCTACAAAAGAAAAATATATTGAGAATCAGATAGGATAGAGTGTTGGACCTGGTACATACATTGGCAGTATTTCTGTTGTCCCTACTCCAAACCTTGAGATTCACAATCCCATACCTCAAGCTCATGAGTAACTGTAATACTTCAAAGACATTCCTCAGAGAAACAAACTTTTTATCCCTAGTATTCCTGAATCCTCCTGACACGTGGGCTAGCCATAAGCTTTTACCACCAGCAGGGCATGGTGGTACAAACTTGTAGTTCCAGCACTCAGGAGGCTGAGGGGAACAGAGTGACATGTGGTCAGCCTGGGCTGCACAGTAAAACCCTGTCTCAGAAAAACAAAACACAAAACCTCGTACATTAAACAAATATAACTGCTACAACAAATGCTGGCCTCACCTTAGAGTCTTCTACTGAATCTTGTTTTAACTTAAAAATATATGAAAAGGTGCCAGGACTAAGAAAGGGGCATGCCTCAAAACAGGAGTTCAGGAATGGTCTCTTGTTCATACAAACTGTGTGGTAGCTTTGTAGCCTTGTCCCTGGCTCCCCATGCACATAAATCCTACAGTAATATACTCTGTAAGAAGCATAAACATTGCTAGAGCCATCTTATGGAAGATCAATTATTGCTTGCTGACAGGATATAAGGAGAACCTTGACTGCTGAAATGCTGACTTTAAATGCCTCATCTACCAACTCATTCAAGTTTAGTCCTGTGTGCATTACAAAGGGCTTTCCAACCTTTTGGGTTTTTTTCTTCCTTCCTTTCTTTTTAAAAAGAGCCACTGGTCTCCACCCTTGTGCCTGTAGTTATTTTAATGAAAACTTTCAGACTTGGGGAGTCATCTACTGTCTCATGAACACACCGGAGAAAGTAAGCAATGGGGTACCTTGCAACTCCTGGTTGGTTTTTCCTGGGCTGGGAGCAGAAGTAGGAAGGACGTCGTTTTCAACTTGCAATGTAGGAACTTCATCATCTGTTAAATCCCCTACGTCGCCAAACAGAGTGGCCAAATTTTCCTTCTGGTTTTCTGTCTTTCCCTCCTCCCCACTGTCAGCCTCTTCCGTGTAAGATTCACCATCACCATCGGCATCAAAAAGCTCATCAAATTCATCAGGTTCACCCTCTTCTGGAGACAAGGAGTTACTCTCTTCCGAACTACAAGGCAAGGCTGCCTCATTCTCCTCCAGCAGAGAGGTCAGTATTGACAAGTCATCTTCCTCCACTAGAATAAATGGGAACACAAGTCTACACCAGGCAGCGTCAGTGACAAGTACCCCCCGCCCCCCACAGTCAGCCCTGACAGGACAAATGATGAAACAAGCCTCCAGACTGGTCACTCTGTCTGCTGCTCTTGTATCTACTTTCCTGCCCTGACTGCTTCTTAGAAGACACCGAGTAAGGGAAGGCGAGAGGGCCAGGCCGCGGGCGACATCTTTTCACCTGCACTGCTTTAATGAGCCACCTTCCTGCGATAACAAGGTTCATGAAATTTGACCAATAAGGAATAACTGAAAACATTTAAAACAAGACGTGGACCTTACCTACCATCTCACTTTTTAATTGCCAGTCTTATTTTTAATTAATTAATTAATTTACTATTTTTGTATTTCTCTGCTTTACTCTGGCTGTCCTGGAACTCCCTCTGTAGACCAGGCTGGCCTCCAACTCAGAGATCTTCCTGCTTCTGCCTCCTGAGTGCTGGGATTAAAGGAGTGTACCAGCACTGCTTGGTTAATTGTTACTTTTAAGTGGAGAAAGAAATATAAATATTCTACTCACCACCCAGAATTAGCTATCATTAATATTTCTGTCATATTTGCTTTTATTTGACCTTTAACCATAAATAACACTTTATTCCACTGGTAATTTCAAGTTAAAGATAAAATCAACTCAAATCAGAACCGACAGTTCTTCTTTCCTTTTTTTTTTTTTTTTTTTTTTAAGATCTCATGTAGCCCAGGATGGCCTCAAACTTGCTATACATAGCAAGCAGTTGAACTCAGAGATTCACCTGCCTCTGCCTCCTCAGTGTTGAGATTAAAGGCATATGCCACTATGCCACCATACCCAACACAGTGTAATTAATTTCAATGTTAGCCTTTACTTTTCTTGAATAGGGCCCAGTATAGTAAACCTGAGCAAAAAGAAATGCAGGTTCTGGCAATGAGCTCAATAATGTAATTGACAAACAAGCAAACACCACCACCACCACCACAACAAAACACCACACAATGCATTCCATTTGTTCAGGTCCCTTTAGAATCAGCACAAACATTCTCTGCTGCTCCAAAAGAGCTTTGCTAATCACAGAAAAAAAAAATTTAATGGGAATTTTCTTTGCACAAATCCCTGAATAACAAGCAAAATCAGAAAGGAAAGACAGCAAGAATTTAAAACAGAACTAGACTAAAACCATTTCAAACCATTTCCACATCCAAAGTAACTCTGAAGTCAGACTGCCCAGTTCAATTCCTTGGTCTGACAGCTTGACAAGTTCCTAGGCACCCTGGCTCCCTACTATTCTGTAGTAGAATGAAGGACCAGATGGTAGTTTTCTGTGAACCAAAGAGGAGTCAATAAAACTAGAAGGCCTTACCATCCATGGTGTCAAGAGAATAGCTGAGATGAGCAAGTGTGAAGGTGGATCAGGTAGGTGGCCCTGGTGTAAGTAACGAAGAATCTTGTGTAAAAAAAATAAAAAAAATCAAAATTAGAAAAGTCACCCCTGATTCGCCTCACAATGCACATCCATCAAAGCCCAATCCCAGAGATTCCAATTAATCCAGCACCAGGCACTTTTCATCTCCTCTCCATTATCAACAGAGCAATAGCATCACCCTCTTTGCAGTGCTCTTCTGCTTGGCTTCAAACTGGGGTTACAAAGACCCAGCTAAAGTGCGGTGTAGTGTGTGAGGTGGACTACAGACTCGAAGTGTGAACAAGAACTATTCAGGCTGATGTAAATTTTAGGGCCATATTATTATTATAATGCTTTTGAGGTCTACTTTATCAATTGCAGCTTAGGATGAGATTCTACACAGCTCTACCCTGAATTAGGATTTTTACTTTCACGTTAGTTAGCTGAGCACAGAGGACCAGAACAATTAAGATTAATGGATAACATTGAAGCCAGGCATGGTCTCAAACGCCTTTCATCCCAGTACTGGGGAGGTGGAGGCAGGTAAACAATGGTGTGGGGAACTGTGAGAGGCTCCGGGAAAAAAAGCAGACGGCCTTTTACCCCTAGTGCACTTTGTTCCCTGCAGTGCTCTTGGACCCAATTTCATGCCTCCTTTGACAAACATCTGCATTCAACTTACACGACACATTTATTCTTGTTGGATACTGGAACACACCTATAAAACCTAGGCTGGTGAAAGGACATGCTGAGTGCTCTCCTCAGTGTACCCTGAATCTAGATATGGCCTCTGCCTTGCTTCCCCAGATATAATCCATGGTACTTGCCAGACAACTGTGTCTGAGTTGGTCTGTTCTGAGCACATTCTGGAAAAGGGCTGCTCTGTTAAATTTAGTATGTGCTTACTGGCATTTATTTACATGTTTTTGTGAACTCAAACAACCTTCTTTGCATCATTGCTTGCTTTGTTACATTTGTGTATAAAAATACACTGAAAGTGAAAAAAAGGTGTTAAGAGTGTGCACTATCACCAAACAGCAAATTGTGGTACATTTTTTTTCATTCACTCAACAAACGTTTCTAAGGACTCTATAAGACGTCACATGTTATCTCTGGGGTGTCCCCAACTGTAAGCTTCTGGAGGGTTAGAAGCAGACATGTCTTGGCTCATTCCCATCAGTCTGCTGTTCTGCTTCCCCAAACCAAACCAGTCTACCCTTCTGGTCCTGATATCCAGGGGTATCCTAAAAATACAATGGTTCCTACCTACAAACACTGCCTACATTTTCTACTTTTCTCCACCTGCATGGCTAACAGGGCTATTTCAAGTCACCATTAATTTTACACTTTCCCGCATTGATTATTTCGTTCCCTGGCAAGTATTCCTCACAGCCCACAGATCATTCATTCATTCTCATTGTTCTCTCTGTGGGAGAGAACACGGAGTCTCACTGTGTAGCTCTGCCTGGCTTCAAATTCACAGAGCTCAGCTTGCTTCTGCCTATGTGCTGCCCCCCCCCCCTTCCCCAGGCAATCCTCCCTTTTGTCAGGTATTTTTTAGGACCATAGGTCAGGCCATGGAATTCTTTTAGTTGAGCCATTCTGATGATTTCCTAATAGATGCCTTTATCCTTGTTTATATTTCCCCTTCCTTTCTGTGTTTACGCCATCCCAACTCTACCCCCACCTTCCTCAGCATCTTCCTGCTAGGTTGGCTTGCTTTGAGCTTCTTGAACCATACACTGCTTTAAGGCTCCAAGCACTTTGTCTAGAAAGTTCTTGTGGAGTTCTCTCTCATCTGCACTTCGCTGCCTGATTTCTGAGGCTTTCTAGCCGGCCATACCGCAGGTCCGACCTTCTAGAACTCCCTCCGCCCTAGTCACTGCACATTTGTCCACTACTGTGTACCTGTTATCTGGTCCTCTTTGGAGGGCAAGCGCGGAAGTGCAGGGCAGAGACTACGTGTCTCTGTAGGAGCCTTCCTACAAGGTATACATTCAACAGGGATCAGGAAGAGAGAGGTCAGCAAGGCGGCGGGCGTTTTAAGAGGTTGCTTTGTGTGCAAGCAACCCTAACTGCATTCAGTGTGTTATTTAAAAAATTTAAAAGACATGAAAGTAGCAGGGCACGTACGGTGAAGGGGTTCAGGGAAAGGGGAGGCGGACAAGAGAGGAACGGGGAGGAATAGGAGCAAAACTGTCATAGTCACTAGTGTTTACAAGAAATTGTCAGAAATAAACTTGTAAAAATGGAAACTAAAGGACGTTCCTAAAAAGGGAAACAAACCCTAACAGGGTCTTCAAGCACACGAGCCCTCAGTCTTCAGACCCGGCGCCTAGCCCGCTCCAGCCAGGCACAAAGGTCGCCTGCTCCGCGCGATCCAGAGCTCGCGCCTCTCTCCCTCAGAGCCCAAACCCATCGCGGACGCCCGAGCCCCCCAACACCCGCACCCCGCGCTGCTCACCCAGGTCGGGATCCTCTTCGCCGGCCTCACCGGAACCCGCCAAAAATTACAACTGGACCCCGCCCAGCTCTGACGTCAACGCGTTCGTCTGTGGACAGTACTGTGACTGGCCATTCCGGAACCCCTGGACCACACAGATTCTTGGAGGCGGAAAACACCGCCTCTCAGTAGAGCGATCTGATTGGTGGATTGCTCAGACGCCATCTTTGTTACGGGCAAAGAACTTCCGGTTGGTGAAGCCCCAGCTTCCCGTAACTAAAAAAGAGAAGCTCTGGCGCCCCCTAGCGCGGAGAAGTTCAAGCGTCGTTACCTCCTCCGGAGCCCCAGTTTTGCCCATTTTTAAGGTAAGGACTAAAGAACACAGAAGCCTGGACTTCTGCCAAGGGCGCTCATCGCTGTCCTCACAGGGTTCCCTGACCTAACAAGTGAACCTAGCAAAGTCTAAATCAGTTTTGCTGATTCTGGGTCCGGTTTAGATATCAGAATTTAAATAAAGCGGGACGAAAGTTTCTAGTTTTCCCTCTGGCTGACCTACAGGAACTAACATCTCTTCAGATTTTGTTTCACCACCTGTAAACTGAGGGAAGGCTACGTGATATTTTTGGACTCAGAAACCAATATTCCTAGAAAATCCCAGATTTTGGGAAACCTAGAATTTATGTCAGAGTTGTAAATAATTTATTAGATCATTCTTTAGTAAAATTCACACTTTATTTAGAGACTAAAAAAGTTTTTATACATAGTACTAAAAACATTTTCCACGTAGCTCTGGCCTGGAACTTTCTATGTAGTTCAGGTGAGCCTCGAACCCATGGACCCATAGATCCACATGCCTCTCTCTGCCTCCCACATGCTGGGATTAGATGCCTGGATTACTGTAAGACAGTATGCAGCAGGGCATGGCATATCCTGGAATTCCTCCTCCCTCCTCTACCCCTTTTCCTTTTTCTTTTTTTTGCTGATAATTGAAGTAAGGGGTTCCTGGATGCCAAGCAATCCCTCTGCTTCTTGAGCTATATTTGTAGCCCTGGCCTATAATTCTTGAGACCTTCTGCCTCACCTTCCACAGAGCTGTGATTACAGGCCTGAAAAATTAACGATGGAGAAACTGCAGGAAGCACACTGACCAGTTCCTGCAGGCACTCTGCAGTTCCTTTCTTCCCCATGACTTCACAGGCGGCCTTTGCTTCCCGTGCAATTCAAGGAATAGGAAACACTATCAGCCCAAGTACCCAAGCACAGCTGGATGTGGAGAACCAGGCAATCTGTATTGTTATTGGTTTAGTGGCAATTCTGAGGATGGAGGAGATAGTGGTTTTGAAAAAAATAATGAAGTAAATTCAGAATCTGTTGAATATGGGCTATCATAGAGAAAGGAGGCAGAGGAAAGTCAGATGGAGAATGGCTAATCAATTTCTGACGTATGCAACTGTTTCTTGAGGTAATCCACTTTAGTGGGAACATGGGAAGTCCATGTTTAAGGGCATGACAGAGTCCGTGGTTGGTTTCAGAATGACACCTTAGTCAGCCTTCTCACTTCTGTGACAAAATACCTGAGACAGCTTAGGGAAGGAAAAGGTCTTGGCTCTGTTTTAGAACTCAGTGAGGCAGAATGGTGGATGAGGCAGGGCATGGTAGAAGTGTATGATGTGTGGTATGGTTGAGCAGAGCTGCTCACCTCATGGCAGCCAGGAAGCAGGATGACAGAAAGACCAAGAGCAAAGTTTATCATTCCTACCCTCTGCGACTCACTTCCTCTAAACAGGCCCTGCCTTCCACAGTTCCACCACCTCCAGTAGTCTTTTTTTTTTTTTTTTTTTTTTTTTGCTGCTGTTGTTTTTGTTTTTCTATACAGGGTTTCTCTGCTTTAGCTCTGGCTGTCCTAGAACTTGCTCTGTAGACCAGGCTGTCCTTGAACTCATAGAGAACTGTCTTCCAAGTGCTGGGATTAAAGGTGTGGCCAGCAGCCCTGCTCCCCAGTAGTCTATTAACCCTGGAATCCACCGGTGAATTAACCGTCAGGGTCTGGAAGATGCCCTTCTGAACACTACCTCTGCATGAGGTGGCCAGGCCTTCAATACAGGAATCTTTTCATGAGGACACTTCATATCTTAAGCAGAACACTAAGAGAATGATGACAAAGGCCCAGGAGCAAGCAGCTTGTTTCAGTCTAGGGCTCTGAGCAGAGGCTGCATTCTCTTTAGCAGAAAAACTGAGGTCTCCACATCGGCTTTAAACTACTGCAGGGTTGTTTTTGTTTTGTTTTAAAGGGAGGTTCTTGCTGTATTTCTCAGGTTGGCTTTGAACTCCTGGTGGTCCTCCTGCCTCAGCCTCCCAATGTATTACATACAGGGATGCACCAGGAAGTGGTTCTTAATTTTCTGGGGAGGGAGCAGAGATGAGGGTGTTCACAGACCTCTTTGGAAAAATAATACAACTAGTAGTTTTCTGTCCTTTTCTAGAAGAATACGCAGTCAGGAGCATGTGTGCTTTTCAGTGGCTCACACTCTGAGAGGAATCTGGACTAGCTGCCAGAGAGCAACACAGGTATACAGAAGG